CGGACTAGATGATCTACTCAGGTCCCTTCCGACCCTAGAAACTATGAAACTATTTCCAACTTACAAATACAATCTAACTATACTAGAAAAACCAACGAGCTGGACAGCAAGTATAAAAAATTCTCAGGTATATTTACATGATATTAAAACTGACCCATTCTTTTACTAACAAGACAATATTTTTTCTGCCGATCACAAAGAGAATCTGTGACAAACGCAATCTTTTGCGCTTTTCTTATTCAGAACTTGCCAGAATCATGAGACAATTTCTTTTAAATGACAATTTGTAGACCACCAAAAGCAAAACACAGCAAGAGGAAACTATTATTTTTTGCAAAATAAGTTTTAAACATCTTGACACCATCTCATTACAGCACTACTGTTCCTGTGCAGCTACGCTCCACCATCCTCACCAGCTCCAAGGTTTCAAGAGGGTTTACTATGGATGAGAGTTAAAAGGTCAACAACATAAATCAACTGTCTCATAAATAACAATCCTAGTAAGTAAGTTCTGTCTTCCGGCACACAATATGCAGCTAGTGGCTCCTCTTCGCAACATGAAAATGTCATCTAGGTCCTTGAACTAATATATGACAAGATTTTATTGCTGCTTTTAAAACTGCTTGCAGAATTTCTCCACAGTTCAATGAGGTTTTGTTTCACTGCTGAACAACTGGTTCCTTTCCAAACAGGTCAGTTAGATGTACAAAGATAAAAATCACATGGAAATGGTTCTTACAGATTTTAAGCAGCTCAAATCAGTTTGTGTCTACATTCAGTCTCTAGACACTTTATTTTCTATATTTTCTTTGGAGGGTTTCACCTTTAACCACATGCGAGCTGGTCACCCCTTTCATTTTTGCCTCTGTATCGACCAAGTCATACAAGTGTTTTCTTATGACAGTATGAATTGCACTGTGTTGTTTTCCTTTAATTTTAGTAACACATGACCATACCTGCACAATATTCTGAAGAGGGAGCTAAAGTATTATGTTTAATTTTTTAAGGATAAAAAAAATATACCACATTTGTTTCTCCTGAAATATTTAATGTTTAACGTGCCAAATTTTGTACAGATTCTTCATCAAGTTTTTTTTATTTTTATTTTTTAACACTGATCACTACTAGGTTTCACTCTGGGCTTTAGTTATATTTCCTTGTTCCTTAAACTAAAATTTTATGAATCTTTTTAAATCACACATTTCTTACCCTACATTGAACAGTCATCCATAAGCTTAAATCAAAGAGCTTTAAAGAATGACTTGGCTTGTTCCAACATGTCCTTCACCTTTTTCAGGTATCTGAATTTATTTTTAAAAATTGCACAATTTCCAGAGTGTGCAATGGCATACAAGCTTTGTATTCAACTTGGCTACACAATGCATTTACATTTTTAACTATAAAGCTATTATTTAAAATGCCTCATTCAATTTAATTTTAGACCACATATTGATTCACTAAAACAGCTCACATGACATGCCACACTTCTAGATTTCGAAACCAGCTTTAATTTCAAAGCTTACGGCTACTAACAACTGGACATTGTGGTCTGAATCAAACATTTCAAAGCTGGCAGTAGAGATTTTACAGTTTGGATTTTGACAGTTCTGAAATTCAGAAAGCATTTTTAGAATGACAGGTGCTGCTCCGGAAGGTCTGCCCATCTTCAAAAATGTAGTTTTCAGTAACATTATGAAAGCATGAAAGATACTTAATTTCATTCTGTCTGCCATGGTTAACTGCTTGACTGTTCCAGATCGACTCAAAGGCTAGGGAAGCAAGTGAGGGGACGATGCATATGTTGCAATACTGAAGTAGGACTGGTAAATTACTACCACATAAGTACCTAACATATACTATAAATTACTTTTTTCCTCTCTTTTTTGAATAAATAGCACCAAGACCGTGCTCTGACAGGGAAATAGCTGCTAAACTGAGCATGAATGAGAAACAGATCCAAATTAGGCTTCCCTGAAATTAATTTTTAAAAACAGTGTAGTCCCACAGGATCAGATAGAAAATGACCAAGGCCCAAACTCTGTTCTCACAGATATCACTGACAAAATTCCCACCAACTTGCACGGAACAAGCAGAAGCAGAAAGCTATTTAAAGTGTCCTTTCAACACTCACCAATTCATATTTGTGAAACGTGGTCAACAATAGACATCTGACTTCTGTTTAATGTTACCAAAAACTCACTAAGAAAGTATTTCAAAATCAAACTAATGAACAGAGATTCTAACATGCATAGTGAACTTAAACGGCAAACCAGAATGTCAGTAACACTGCATGATCTATTTGCCAACCAGTTCCCAGTTTCTTATACTGGTACCCAAAGTGTCTAAGTACCTCTGGTGGCACTTGCTCAAAACATAATGAGGCTAATGCTCATTATTTCAACTGGTACTGCTTTCCACAGTCTAAATCTAGAGTTCAGCTCCCTGCTGACATGTCTTCTGGTCAACAGTTTTTTCCCTGTAATGGAATGAAGCTGTTGTGAAATGTTATAGCCAAAGAGGAAAATTTGTCCCGCCCAAGCAGCCAAAATCAATTCCATGAGGAGCTCTGAAAACAGTCAAGCAGTACCCCTGAAGTACACGTCTCTTCTCAGGGAATCAACAAGCAAGGAACAACATTTTGGAAAGATACTTTCCTGCTAAATTCTTATTGCTGAATGGGCAGGCCCCTAGGTTGTTTTTTAAAACATATAGTAAAAGACAAAGGACATTTTCTCAATATTAAAGAACTTTTAGATGTTTTAGTAATATCATAAACCAAAACTCTTACCTTGCCCAGAATTATATATTGCTTTTACAGATTTTTTCACTTTCTGTAGTGCAGTTCTGTCTTGATCCAATGCCTGTAATAAAAGATAATAAAACTATCAGTTCTGCTTACTGAATATTAGTAAACAAGAGTAAACAGAACCGTGTTATTAAGTATTTAAGGAATAATTTCAAGGGCTGAAAGAACTACAGATGCCCCGAGTTCAAGTTTCTGGGGAGGTTCAAACTAAGTGACCTTTGAGTCTGAAGGCAGAGTAGAGGGACCATGATAAAGCTACAGGACAGCTATATGATGATTACAACTTCATAAAGGGACACCATCTGCTTTCCATTATTTTTTAAATTTTTGCTTTGGAATTCAGGTACTTCAGTTACCTAAATACCCTGTTAATTTATATGGCTGTAGTGTAAAAATATCCCCCCACCCATAAAAACAGATTATACAGTGAAAACAGTAAAAATGACTATAGAAAACACTGTCACAAGCACAAGCTAAACAAGTACAATCCCAAGAAAAGTATTTTTTCTCTCATTCAGTTAAATATTGCTGTCAATTGTTAAGATAACAAGCACACCATTTTCAGAAATACTGTCAACCTGAAACAATCACAATATTACTCAAAACAAAATTGATTGCAGCGAGATAAGGTTCAACAGAGCAAAAAAACTTTAGGATCTGATCCTACAAACACATGCAAGTAGCTTAGTGCCATTATTTAAATGAGGAAATTCTTTAGATTTCTATTACTCCAAAATATTCTTATGATTCCTATATTTAAGCATGCAACCCTCCACCAAGTAAATTAATTTGAAGATCCAGATAGGTCAAAGTTTGTAATTAAATTTGTGGTCCTGTTCTTTTTAATCACAATCTGCTGAACCCACTCAGAATCTAGTGGGAGTGAAAAAAATTAATCTGAGAAAAGAGAAAAAGTCAATCTGATCTGTAGTATAACAACTTTTTGTCCCATACCTGAAACTATGCAAGGCAGCCTAGATCCATTCTTTCATATGCATAGTCACTATGCACTTGACTGTATGTTTGATTGTACTGCATTATTCATGATGGAGAATAAATACAGAATAGAATTGTTTAACCACATTATTCTGAAGCACAAAAGGAAGTGGGAACAACTTCAGATCAATAACTCCAATGTTAGGTCAATAACAAAAGGTCAAAAAATACTTTGCCTTTTTACAATGCAAGTGGATTTGAATTTTTACATATAATTTTGTAAAGCGACTCAATTTTTGCAATACAAAATAGCTACAGTTGAAAGATGCACAAAGCCAAGAAGCAAAAGAAATAATTTAACCATGTTTGTGGATTAATATCCAATTCAGACCCCATTGTGTACCCAATGGTACAACATTTATTAGCATTTCAATTGAGGCTAGATATTCAAGAACTTAAATGTGTTGCAAAGCTATTCAAATCTTATCCTACTTTCTCTTTTCATTTAACTTCCATCAAAACAATAGATTGAATCAAATTCTTGCATTTGTTCATTAAAAATTAACCTGAACTGGCTGCAGACACACATTCAAATAATCTGGGAGAATTCTCCGAGGTTTGTTTTTCTGGTATAAAAATGTACTTAAAGAAGCCTGAACAGATGTTCAAATACTGAGCCCCAGAGGAGTAGAGAGCTTGCAGTGCTGATCCTGGGAGGGCTCTGTGTGCTCTGTAAGCTCCCTCAGTCTGCATGGAGACAGATGACAGCAGTGCACATGGTCCTGACTGGCTAACCCAAATTAGAGTCAGTCTGCAACTCCCAGCAGGACAATGCGGGACTGTTAAAAGGACATGTTTTGCTTGGCTAAAGCAGCAGAGTCCAGAAACCAGCACTCTTACTTGAGCAAGGAAGGGACCAGGGGGGAAAGGTCTGGAAGACAGTGCTGGAGTACTGTGCTATGGCTATTCTCTCTCACCCAAGAGATACTCTCCTAAGACTGATTTAACCCTGGTTTATCCCAGGTTAATTTTTCTTCTGGAGTGGCCATTTTTGTCCTAGGAGAAAAAAAACTGAACATATGGACACTCATGGTTTCTCCAGGGAGAGCAGTAACATGGCCTTAATGTCTGTACATAGCCACTGTACTTTTATTCACAAGTTATATGGCAGCTGTCCCCCTTCAGATTCCTTTAAGATGCATGTCAAATTTGGACTACTTCTCAATAGATCTTAAACCACTCCCCATATTTCCTACCAAATTTCCATTTAAAAAATGTCTTCGTCTTCAACTATGAGGACAACTACTCAGAACAGATACCAGGCCAGATTGGAATTTAAGCACCAAAAAGAAAAATTCTGAGAAACAGGCCCCCTCTCGTTGTCAGCAGCAGCAATCCCTCATGGTCGAGGATGATCACTCCCTCAGGTCAAGTAAAGAGTTGCAAATGAGCCCGCTGATGGATAAGACTACCAATCCTAGAGCCACAGACTCTGGCAAATGCCACAGCTAGTGGTTAAAGGGAGGATCAGACCACAGATTTCTTGGTCTTGTTTCCTTTCCTTCCATTTCTATCATTTTTCTGCCTCCAGGGTGAGAATGTTTTCCTCAAAAGTACGATGTACCTTCTCTCATAAGGCATCACCATGTAGCCCTTTCCTAGGCTAATTTTTCCCAATTTGTGGTGTTAATGCCACACTTCTTAAAAGTTCACCTTGAGGGTGCTCTTGAAGTATTTCCTTTGGCCTTAGCTGAATTGGGAGGATAGCAGTTGTTCTGGTAAATGTACATCGGGCATGCGTGCACAGTGCTCTGTCCACCACAGCTGATGTTTATTAAATACTGGTGGTGTTAGCATCAGTAAGGACACTGGAATTTATGTGATAATCCTCCCACTTTATGCCAAGGATCTTTCAGAGGTAGCACCGGTGGTGGCAGTGTTCCCGGCTTTTCAGGTGGTCCCTGTTGGTCACCCAAGCTTTACAGCCATAGAGAAGAGTTGGGATTACCACAGTCATATAGCAGGAGCTTTGTTCAAGTCCTGGTGTTGTGATAGTTGAACCATCCTGATGATTCAGTCTTCTGAAGGCAGAACTGGCACATTGGATCCTACGCTGGGTCTCCTCATCGATGCTGACCTTTGAGAGACTGCTGCTGAGGTATGTAAAGTGTTCAGTATCTTCCAGTTCCTGTCTCTCAATGAGGATCTTTGCTGGGGCAGTTGACTGGCCTTTGTTTTTCCAATATTAAGGGTCAGTCCCAGGCACTGGTATGCTTGAGAGAAGCAGGTAAGGGCCACTTGTAGGTCCTCTACCATATCTGCAATGACAACACAATCAACGGCTGCCTCCAGTTCCACAGTTGAGGCAAAAGTAACTTTGGTTTTGCCGCAGAGGTGGGAGAGATTGAAAAGGTTCCCATCCATCCTGTACTCAGTGCTGATACCATGTAGCAGACAGTCACGGATGAGTATTTTGATGACCACAAGAAAGATGGAAAACAAAACTGGTGCAATCATGCAAGCCCTGCTTGATGCCAGTTCAAATACCAAAGGGCTTTGTAGTGGAGCCAGTGCATAGGATGAAGGAGCTTTAGGATGGTGATAAATTTCCCTGGCAGCCCAACTTCGAGAAGATCTTCCACAGAACCTCATGGTTAACAGAGTTGAAGGCTTTGGCCAAATCAATAAATGCCATATACAGATCCTAGTGTTATTCTCAGCATTTTTCCTGGATCTGCTGGGCCTCAAAAATCATGTCCATTGTGCCTCTTGATGGTCTGAAACCACACTGAGACTCAGGGAGGATTTCCTCAGCAAGAAGGAATAGTCAGTTCAGCAAAATTCAAATGAAGATCTTCCCAGCAATGGAGAGGAAGATAGTACCTCAATAGTTTCCACAGTCAATCTCCCATTTTAAAAATGGTGACAATACTGGCATTTCTTAGGTCAGCAGGAATTTCCTCAGTGTTCCAGATTTTGAGAAACAGTGCGTGGAGCTTACTGGTCATAGTTTCCCCACCTACTTTGAATACCTCAGCTGGTATGCAATCAGGGCCAGAAGCTTTGTTGTTCTTCACCTGTCATATCACCTGGCAGGCCTCTTCAAAAGTTGGTGGACTGGCAAGTGCTTCCCTTACTGGGTGCTGCAGGATGGATTTGACAAATTTCATCAGTCACTACCAAAAGTTCCTGAACTGAGAATTGACAGTGCTTCTTCCAATGGTTTTTGATGGACTCATTGTCTTTGAAGAATGTACTGCCATCTTCAGATCCAAGCAGGATAAGCCCACAAGAGCTTGGTCCATACACACCCTTGACTGCACTGAAGATGCTCTGCATGTCACCATTGTCAGCAAACTGTTGCGTTTTTTGCCTTCTCTTCCCACCATTTGTTTTTGATTTTTTGAATCTCCGTCTGGGCTTCAGCTTTAATTTACTGAAAAGTTCCCTGCTTCTGACTGAACGCGGGATGGTTTTGTCAGTCACAGAAAGCTTTAGTCTTCCAATCAAGATGAGCTTTGATCTCAGCACTGTTCTCGCCAACCACTCCCAAAGGCATTGGGTGATAAAGCCAACTGATTCTGTGCGAGCTTCATGGATGGTCTCCTTCAGAGCTTGCCAATCTTTTTCAACACAAGTGTCAGCATTTTCAAAGCTAAAATTGGCAAGTTTCTTGCTGAGATATGTTTGGAGGGCTTTGCAGTATCTAGCGATTTGAAAGCATTTGATGTACTGATTTGGACTGATTTGGATTGTTTTCGATGTTTCAGTGCAACCAACGGACATGACTGATCTCACTAAGTGATGATCAGTCCAGCAGTCACTGGCTCGTCTCATAACATGTGTGATATACATGTTACATGTATTTAAACTGGCCACATGTGCAAAGTACAAAGTGACAGAGCTCTGAGCTGTGGGGGTGCACCATACTCTGCTGCAGCCGGAAGCACCACAGCTGATGGGACTCAGCCACAGTAGCATACAGGGCACCATCTGGGAGCCCGGTCAGCTGTAGGACTTGCAGCCAAGGGAGCTTGCATCCTGCCAATGCAAGGTAACTCTGGAATGATTATCCATGGCTCCCTCTGCACCAACAAGGAGTGATAGGATCTGATACTG